GTTGAAGTTTCTGAAAAATGGTTACTGGAGGTAAAATGTTCACTCTGTTTTCTCTTCACTGATGCTGGCAGACCTCCTGAGTTTCCCCAGCAATTTGTTTTTCTTTTGTTTCAGTTTGCCAGCATCTGTAGTTCTTTGTTTTATCTCAGTAATATTCACTGTGGAAAAAGTTAAAATTCAATAGCAGCAAGAAGCAGGAGGAGTCAGACATGACTAGTTTATTGTGTGCAGGATAAAATAATTGAGATTTGGAATTGGATTGTACTGAATGTTCTACATTAGCCTTCTGGCTGGGGAGGCACCCTCAATGACAGGAGTCACATGGGTTGAGATGGTCTCAGGGTGAAGTCAGCTTGATTAAGGGTGCAAGAAGTTGCCTCTGAATTTCTGGGATTGAGACTAACTTGCATTTGTATAATGCCTCACATACACAGAAACCATTCTTAGTTGCCGAACAAATAGCTATTAAAAACAAAAGGGCACTGACCTGAAAAAGGATACTAGAAGAGGTCAAAAAAACCATCTGCAAATGACGGAAAAAAAGTGTTTGAAAGATAAAATGCTAGGCAGCAGTATCCTGTGTGCAAGATCGAGACAGCTGATGACAATGTTTGGTGGCAGCAGAAAGGAAATTTGCACAAGCAAGCAGAGGAAAGGAGCATTTAGATTGGAGGGCTGTAAGAATTTACTTAGAAATAGGAAAAGTACTGGAAATTAAGATGAAATTACAAAATGAGGTGTCAGGGAAGCAGAAGGTAGTGCAGGTTGAGAAGGCAGGTAATGAATGAGCAACATTTGTTATACAATAGGATTTAAGCAGCAGGGCTTTAGCCATAAAGGGTGGGGAATGGGAGGCCAACTAGAACGCAGAGGATATAAAGGTATAAAATGAGACTTTCATCCATGCTGGAGCTGAAGTCTCACTTAGAACGTACCAAACAGAGCAGATCATTCCGTACAACAAGTCTGTGCCTACAAATCTGATCCACATGGGATTCCTCTCAATTATCTTCATTGAATTCCATCAGCAGCCCTTTCTATTCCTTCCTCACTCGCGTTTTCTCGCGGTAAACAAACTGAGGGATCAACACTTCACTGGGAATGCAAACAGAGCAAGCAAGAAGCAGAGCTTGTAGGCAAAAAAAAAGCTTCAAGAAAACATGAAGAGAAGCCACAGGATGGTGTGTGGTCAGGGCTAGGCACAGACAGGGACATTCAACTTGCTGCCCACTGGGATGAGTGGCATGGGCAACTAACTATGCAGTTGGCCTCAATAAAGAAGTTCACAAGCTCCTCAGATTTTGAGGGAGTGGAGGGGGCAGTGAACAGGACTTTAAGTTTACTTGGTACAGGAACAGAAACCAGCTATCTTTGCCACAGGGCAAGTCGTAGAAGACTGGGCAGCTTTGATGCAGAACGGAGAAACTGCACTCAATGTGGCTCATTCAGACTTGGTCTTGACAACTAAACCACACATTCATTAGCAATCATCTTATTTGTGCTTCTTGGCTCAAGGGATTGAAGTTAGCGGACCATAGAAACAGCAAGAGTGAGATATGTTTCACTGAGAACCAGTGGAGGGAAACAAGTGGTTGAGGAGATCAACATCTACATAAGCAGTGTGGAACACCAGCTGGGAGTTGGAAAATGCTCCTAATGCACTTTGGAAAGGATGAGACAGAATGTTGGATGAGATCAACTTGGCACTCAGTGACGCACTCAAACATTAAACTGCCTGCCAACTAAGTGTTTGCTTACACCCATAACTGGGTGTTAGATGAAGCAGAGAACGGACAGCACCTCTGGCACCATACCCCAGGCCAAGTCTACACTTTCAGCAAAATTGCTGATTAAAAAGCCCGTGTTGAATCTTGAAGCTGAACAAGATCCACAAGCTCAAGCTGCACATTTGCTGATTAGTCAACTTGAATTAAATTGGATTCTCATTCAGATTACAACTGCTCGCATTCATGGATAAAGTGCACCTTGGCAATAGGTAACCAAAAACAAAATTAAACTTGAGCAAACAAACCATCCACTTTATAATAGGCTGATTTTTAAAAAAGGTGCCATCTCATTTGGTCTATTACTGAGTTTGTGCCACTCGAGATGCATGCAAATATACCAAATAATATTGAGATTGCAACACAGAAACACGGCATTCAACCCAACACATCCACGTCAACACTGACTCTCTAAATGAGTAAATCACTGTCACAATTACCCAGCTTATTTCTCCCACATTTTTCATACTCACATCCAAATGAACACAGAAGCATACTCCATACACTCAACTCTGGACATAAGTAATTCAGCGACCTCTTATTCCAACTCTCATTTGATGTTGTATTAATGGCCCTTTTCTCTTTCTTCAACAACTGAAAATAGATTTTTGTCTAATTTGTACTAGCTATTGATCATTTTAATACTTCCTTTTAAACATTACACCATAAGCTTCATTCCTGCAATGGAGACCCTCAGTTTTCTTTCATATCAGGTAATTTCACAAATTTCTGAAATTGAGGAGCTCTTTAAAAATCTAGCTCCTTGACTATCAGTTGTATTGCTGACTGACTGAACGCATTCCAATGAACACCAAAGTTTGTTACTGTACCAAAATGTACCTGTACCCTCTCTAAACCTTTTCCGCTAGCAAAGGAGTCTGTAATGAGACATCATCGGTTAGCAAGAAGCTTGTTTCATCTGGTCGGTTAAGATCAGGACAGCATGACCTGAACAAATGGGGGAAAAATATACTCAACAGGAACTTTACAGCTACTGGACATGCATTTGATCAGTGAGAATGGTTATGATGAATTTTACTTGTCCACAAGGCAAATTAAATTATACAAGGAACATCTCAGCACAATGTACAGCAGCTCAAAAGGTGTTATTTCAGCCAACCATTTGCAAATGTAGTAGTAAAATGCTCAGTGTGTTTCACAGGAATGCTGTGCAACAAAATTGAACACCAAGCCACAGGAGTTTATCGCAGATGTCCAAAAGCTTGGGCAAAAACAAAAAAAAAAGAACGATGGAGTCAATTCTAAATTGAATTGAGGCAAATGAAGGTTTGTGGCCTCAGTAGCTGAAAGCACAGCCACCAATGGCAGACCGATAGAAGTACCTGGATTTCAGAGATCAGAATTAATGGTGTGGAGGTATCTCAGAAGGTTGTGGCACTGGAAGAGATAGGGAGCAGTGCCATGGATGGATTTGAAAATAAGACTGAGAACGTAAAGATAAAACAAACGAGGCAATGCTTAACTGGGAGCCAATGTAAGTTGGAAACTGATGTATGAATGGGACTTGGTGACAGAGTATAAAATGGGTAGTAGAGTTTCAGATTACTTAAGTTTACAGATAGTTGGATGTGGAAGGCCAGCCAGAAACACTTCAGAATAATCTACTCAGAGGTTTAAAATAAAAGTACAAACAAGGATTTTAGCAGCAGATAAACTGATGTAGGGATGGAGGTGACTGATGGTTGCAGGTGATGGTGATGAGGTCAAATATGACACCAGGGCTGCAAAGGGTGTGGTTCAGCCACAACTACCAGGGTGGAAGGGAATCAGGGTGGGGTACAGGTTTCGTGGCAGAGATTGAAAGTAATGGCTTTGGTCTTCCCAATTCTTCTCCTGTTCACCCAGTGCTGGACGTTAGGCAAATAGTCTAAAAGTTTCAACAGTAGGAGAGGTCAAAAGGGGTGGTCGGCTATGGCTGGATTTTGTCAATACGCGTGTGTGAGATGACATTGCCAAGAGGCAACGTGCAGCTGAGCAGGTGCCAAGGATAGAGCCTTGAGGGATAGAAATTAACAATGCAGGAGTGGGAAGAGAAGCTGTGGTAGGCTCCAATGAATAAATCTTTGCTTATTTGCAATGTTGAGAGAGCAAAGCTCAGGTGTTGAGCTAAACTGGAGTGTTCCTGCAAACAACCACAGCCAGCCAAATGCTACTGTGTTATATGATTTTAAAGGCTAACACGTGTCTTGTTAACATCTTATGCAGTTCCTGACAACTGTAGGATCCATTTGACACTTCCTCAAATAATCCAATCAGCCTGATTCAAAGCAAATTCTGATAGATCATAAAATCAGAGAAAACGAGAAGACAACAAAGAATTCCCACCTATATATAGCCAACCTGGACAGAAAGAGGTATAAAAACTGCCAGAAATAAAGTGCAAACTTAAAATAGCAACTTTTGGGGCTTAAAGGGTGGAAGGTAGTATGAAGCCACAGAAAGAGGCTAGATTTATAATTTATCTTTTTATGTTAATTTTGTTCATTTACAAGGTGTGTGTGTTGATAGTTAGGGCAACATTTATTGCTCCTCCCAAACTGGCCTTCAGAAGGTAATGGCCAATCTTTATTGAATCTCTGCAGTCCTCAAGAGTGTAGGGACACCTATGGTTCTGTTAGAAAAGGACTTGCAGCATTTTGACCCAAGGACAGTGAAGGATTGGTGATCTAGTTCCAGTTAGGTGGCTGTGTGGCTTGGAATAAATCTTACAAATGGTGGTATCCCCCCAGATCTGCTATCCTTATCCTCTGGGGTAGAGGCTGTTGGTTCAGAAGATGCTGTTGAAGGAGTCTGGGAGAGTTGTTGCCGTGAAGCATTAACTTTACTTAAGCTTCATCTTGCCACCAGGCTACAAGAGAGGGCAGGCAAGAGAATATGCCACTTCTCACTTCCGCTGATGTTTGTCCCGCTTCGTTAGCATATCAACCAGTCTTAACCCCGGATAGAGTCGTAAGCCTAGACACGAAAAGTCATCCTCTCCGACCTTGAGAAACCACAATGCAAGTGGGAGAAGAATGAACACTCAGAAATACATGTTCATCAGACGATGACTCAATGCGTGAATAAATTCGGCAGGAGCCAAAACGTGCTCCATGCTGTCACTGTAAAACGCATGGATGTTAAAGGTTTCAGTAAATCTGACCAAGAGTGCGCCATGAACTAATGGGGAAATGGCACATGGAGTAAGTATATTACCTGCTTGTATCCAGCTACGCGGAGAATGTATCAGCGTTCCAATTTAGAACGTGGCGCCAGATTTCACCTCAGCAGCGTTCCTTCCGCATTGAGCTGCTCGCTTGTTGTCTGCAAAAGAAACAGAAAAAAAATGTTCAGCCAGACATTCACCGACTGATCAGAAACAGCTCCTCACAGAAGCACCGGGAACAAGCCATGCACGATCAGGAGAGCTGATGAGCACTTAATGCGCAATGACATCACATCATTATCCTTTTTTAAAACGGTCAACTTCACGTACATATTCATACACGTATTAAAAGTGAGACAGCAGGCTTAAAAGTCATTTTCTGTTCTAGATCGAGAGGCTCTGAGGCTCCCTAGGAGAAAGTCGTGGCCCCAAATAGCCCAGTGAAATAAATTTTCGCCAACATGCTCGGTTCTTATAAAATATAAGTAGAATAGGATAAGATGTAATTCATGATAAATTCTCCCTCCTTCTCTAATGATGTAAAAATGTTGATGACCGGATTTAACAAAATTCTCTCTCCTTCTCTAATGATGTAAAAATATCAATGACCGGACTTACCACGTCTCTCCGCTCCACAAGCTGTTGGGAGACTGAATCCGGAACGACAGCGTGTCAATGACCGACAGTAACCTCTCCCCTCCAGAGGGGGGGGAAACCCCGGAAACACGGGGCACACGTCATCTGATTCGATTCCCTGCAGCCAATCAAGGAGATCCTTCATATTGGCTCCGCCTTGGCCATTGGTGGGACTCGCAGCCCTGGTTCTCTCGGCAATGCAGTTCAATGGGAAGGCAGAGGGAGAAAGATCCAGTGGTTGAATTTGGTTTGCAAATTTTTTTTTAAAATAACATATCTTGGGCGAAACTTACTGAACAGAAATAAGCCCACTGTCTGCTTAATTAGAATTTGCATTACACGGTAATTGGGGGGCCAATTCGTGCTGTGCCTGTGTCAGCTCCCTCCAAGAGTAGCTAAAACAGAAGTTGCTGGAAAAGCTCAGCAGATCTGGCAGCAGCTATGAAGAAAAAAAATCCCAGTTAACGTTTCGGGTCCAATGACCCTTCCTCAGAGCCTTCTAAAAGTAACTCGGCTGGTCCCACTTCTCCCCTTATCCTTTCCACGTAGTCCTTTTTTTCTGCTCTTTAAATGACTATGCAGTACTCATTTGAAGGCCTCAGTTCACCCTGTTCCACCACAATGTCAAACAACGCATTTCAAATCCTAACCATTCGCTGTGTAAAAAGGCACAAAACCAGTAATTATTGGAGAAACTCAGCAGGTCTGGCAGCATCTATGGAAAGAAAGCAGAAAGGGTCTTATGACCCTTCACGAGACCTTCATCGCCAGACTCCAAATGTTAACTCTGCTTTCTTCCCACAGATGCTGCCAGACCTGCTGAGTTTCTTCCACAGTTCTGTGTTTTATTACACCGTGTAAAAAGGAGTTTTCCTAATGTAGCCAATGTTTTTTTTCTGCTGTAACCTAGATTCTCTGATGTTCGATCCTTCCATCAATGAGAACGGTTCCTCCCTGGTCATATGCTGTGTCCAGATCCCTCGTGATTCCGAGCATGTCTATCAAATTGAACTTTGACCTTTTTGTTCTATGACTTCTTAAATACTTCTCCATTTCCTCCACGGTAGCCCTGATTTTACAGAAACCAGAGATAGCAAGAACTGCCGATGCTGGAGTCAGAGATAACACAGCGTGGAGCTGGAGGAACACAACAGGCCAGGCAGCAGTAGAGGAGCAGGAAAGTTGACGTTTCGGGTCGGGACCCAATTCTGTTCATGTCTCTCACATGGTCACAGCAGCTGTCATATAAACCCCTGGCAAATGGGTCTGTAGTCAGGGGGCGTAACCTTCAGGGCCGGGGCAACCTCTCAGTAACTAGGTACTCGCCTAAGACAGAACGATTTGGAAAAGTGGCAAAAAAAAGTTGCCGATTTTTTTTAAAAAGTAGGAACTGAAATCTTACACTTTAAACACATCGGCCCCATTTTTGATCATAGGTCACGGGGAAAAGAAACTTATATAATGGTGAGGTACTGCCGCGGGTTGACATTGTACCAAATGTAGCACCACCCGATCAATTTCAAACCTCCTTAAATCTGAGGAAACAAGTGAAAAGGTCTCAGGGTGAGATAACAAGGTGTAGAGCTGGATGAACACAGCAGGCCAAGCAGCATCAGAGGAGCAGGAAAGCTGACGTTTCGGGGATAGTAGGAACTGCCGATGCTGGAGAACCTGAGATAACAAGACGTAGAGCTGGATGAACACAGCAGGCGAAGCAGGTCTCAGGGTGGTTGGGACGTTGGCGAGCTGCAGTGAGATTGGTGGGTTTTGAATTTCCTTTGAAGCGAACAGCGACAGCTGATTAATAAACGTTGCGTTAATACAACAACTTTTTTTTATTTGTTTCAGATCTCCAGCACTTGCAGGCTCTTTGTTTCATTAGATAAACCTGATTGCAGTGGGCACGAGCGAGGATTTTGGGTCTTGTTTGATTTGATGTTAAAGGTTTTTTTTTTGCAAAGGTTCTCGCATTATTCCTGTGAAGATAAACACCAGAGATTGAACCTACTGGTTGCTTTGGTGCATGCACACAGCAGACTGTTTAGATTTCCCAGTGTGAGGGAGGGAGCAGAGTATCCTCATGTTAACCCGTTACACAATCCCCACCCCGGGTTCCGGGCACTGTCACACTTGTTGCCTTGCTGCTGGTTCTTAGTGAAATCAATTCTGCCGTGTACCCTGGAATAATGGTAGGGCGGGAACCCTGCTGAAGGTTTGCCTAAGGCAATAATACTCCTGCACTCTCTGTCTGCGTTGTGTTCAGAGTTGGTCGAATATTTCATGCAGTTCCAGAAAGTAGATAGCCTTGAAGGAGTAACGTAACCGCAGTGGGGTATTTTATGATAGTGAGAACCACAATACAAATTGTTCTTATTCCCTCCACACTAGCTAGTCGCCAATGTTGTACTCATGTGTACAATTGCTGGGAAATAACAGGGCTCTAAATTTCCTTGAGACCAAAGCGGATCAGCTGTCTGCGGGACAAGGAGTAGGATATTCTACATGTACACAGTCCTGAATCTGATGGGCTTCTCCCCCAACAGAGAAATCGGGTATGGGGGAAGAAGAGAGTTAGTGGTTGAGTTAACTGCCTACGCCTTATGTAGTGGGTGCGAAGGGGTATGACTCAAAGCGGATAACAGCTCAACTGAGACCAGCTTCCTGGACAGACGCAGGCTTTCATCATCCTTTGAGGCCGTTGCAAGCCACATGTGATCTAATTTTCTCCTTTCATTTCCAGTACTGTCAAGTTTTCAAGAGATGGGCCAAGGAGAATTACACTTACAGTAGTAAGTTACTTCTAGCCCTAGCAGAAGCAGTGCCTGCTGAGAGCAGACTGTGAATTGACCTTCCATGCAGCCCAAATGTGTTTTGGCATAAAACTCAATCCACAGGAGAACTATTGCCTTAACATTTGTGGTTAAGGTTGATTTGGGGATATATTATTTTGAAAATTGGAAAGAAAAGAAAACAAATCCAAATGTTAGGGATCTGAAATAAGAGGATTCAGCTGGCAACTGTGGCAACAATTGCGGTGAAGGGTCATGACCTGAAACATTAACTCTGTTACTCTCTCCACAGATGTTGCCAAACCTGCTGAGTGTTTGCAGACTTTTCTGTTTTTCTTAGCTGTGGTTCAGTTGACGACATCCTTATGTCTGAATCACAGATTCAAGATTCACTTCAGGACTTAAGCACAAAAAAGTGAGGCTGACATTTCAGTGTCAGAGCTGCTGTCATTTGGATGACAGGTGAATCTGAGGCCCTGCCTGCTCTCCAAAGTGGATAGAGTTGATCCCATGGCACTATTTTAAAGAGCTAGGGACTTAAACCTGGTATCCTGAGCATTTTTAATTTTTTTTAAAGTATAACAAGATTAGGTTCAGATTATATGAAAACATGCATATATAAAATTTTATAAAGTTGTTACACACCAGAATGTATGACAGGAATACAACAATAACCTGTACGAAATATGGTATTACTTCACTACAATAAAAAATTCCAACGTGCTTTGCAGGAATGTTATCAAACAAAATATTTGACACCAGCCCATGTAATGAATATTAGGCCAAAAGAAGCAGGCTTTAAGGAGCGTTTTGAAACAGGAAAAATAACTAGTGAGACTAATGAAGGGAATCTTGCATTTATAGCTTGGTAGATGAAAGCACAGATATCAATAGGCAGTGATTAAAAAAATTGGGGACATTAGAAAACCTCTTGGAGGATCTTTTTTATTCATTCACAGGATGAGGGCATTGTTGGCTAGGCAGCATTTATTGCCCATCCCTAATTGTCCAGAGGGCAGTTAAGAGTCAACCACATTGCTGTGGGTCTGGAGTTACATGTAGGCCAAACCAGGTAAGGATGGCAGTTTCCTTCCCTAAAGGGCATTAGTGAGCCAGATGGGTTTTTTTCAACAATCAGCAATGGATTCATCATCATTAGATTCTTACTTCCAGATATTTGTTGAATTCAAATTCCATTATCTGCCATGGCAGAATTTGAACCAAGTTCTCCAGAACAGTATCTGGGTGTCTGGATTAACGGTCCAGCAATAATACCACTAGGCCATTGCCTCCCCATGTATTTCTGTATTTGTTCTTGTGACATGGGCATCATTGGCATGCACCAACTTTTGTTGTCCAACCCCATTTGCCCTTGAGAATGTGCTGTTTTTCACTTTTTCTTGATGATTTCAACTATTTGAATAGGTTTTCACCATGGTTCGATATACTGCTTCTATGGCTCTTCTGTACAGCTTAGGTCATTGGGTGTCTACACATGCAATCTTAGAGGTTTCTCGCTTCCTATTATATTTCAGTGTTCTTGGTCTCTAGCATCTCTTGTTTATCCTTTTCCTGAGTAAGGTTTCCTCCCTTTCTTGAGTACTATAACATTGTATTTTGTATTTGCATATTTACAGGTTACGGAATACATTTCTCTCATTTGATGTCTAAGTCCTGGCCTTTACATAATTCTCTCTGGCTTTTCTTCTACTCTACTCTGTTCTGCTCTTCTTGGCTCATATCAGAGTAGCACTATCACTTCCATCATTATTTGCATATTGTATATGACTGCATCTCCCTGGAAATTTTCTTTCTTATCTGGTTTACATAATTGCAGCAATTTGTTTTAAATTCTTTACATTATTATCATCATTGACATCATTATCACCATCGCCCCTTCCTCTCAGGTTGAGATGATTTGGAACTCTAACTATATGACTGACTCTAATTCACTTGATTTTCACATACAATGGAGATTCTCTACTACTCCTGGAACTTCTGTACTATTCTGTATGGTATTTGATGTATTAGGGTTAGCTGTGCCGCACATCCTGTGATAATCATGTTCACTTCTTAGCTTGGGTAAGATCAGTGCATTCCTGTGTCTCCTAATGTTCCTTCAGATGTACAAACATAATTATCTCAAAAACCTTGTTCCTCTTTAGGCTTTTGCCTTGCTTTTCTGTCCCTTATGCAGACTTTCTGACTAGTGTCAAAGTCAAAATGTCTTTGTCCTGAGTCATAAGTTACACCACTTACGTTGTTTCCATCTGTGGTCTTTTACTATCTCCTCGACCTTCTCAT